CCGAAGTGGCGTTGCCTTAAAGAAGTATCTATCCACGGTCCTTTAGGATTTCCGGGGCAATTAACTTTTTCGGCCGAAGCCGAATTTTTTTTTGTAGATAGCAGGTGCGTTTCTACATTGCTTTTAACTATTCCTAAGCATAAAAACTTTACAAATTTGAATTGAAAATTGAATTTAGTTTGGAAATTGATTTTTTCGACCCAAAATCGCTAAATTTTCGACGTTGTCAAACATCGTCCTAACTTTTTTTTGAAAGTTTCTCTACTTTAAATATAATTAAAACGTACTAAAAACTATGTAAAAACATTTTAATTGGATTGCTAGGCCGGGAGGGAAAAAGTTGGTCCCCCCCCCTTCCGCGAAAATCTTAATGAACCGCCCAAAACACTAATCGGACCGGGGCGCGACTTACAAAAAATGATAGCAAAATAAACGCGATGTGTTGTGGTCCGATTTTATGAAATAGTGATGAATGATGCTTGAATGTTATCTCGTGCAAACATAGCTAAATTTCTGTGTTTAGTTCGTGCCAAGATTGCGATCTCAAATGCATATTTATTCGACACCACCAAAATTCGATCAAGATTTCCTAATCACCATGGTGCTGCTGTTGGCCGTCGGGTCGTACTCGATGAAGTGGTCCTCGTCGAGCGCCGGGTTCTCGTCGTTCAGCCGCTAAAGCACGTTTCGCCAAAGCGCTGTTTTTTTTCTACCTCGCTGCCAGATGGCACGACTCGCGCCACTTCCAGGGGATAGTTCTCCGTAAACGTCGCCAGTTCAAATTCGCGCAGGGCGTCGGCGTAGGTCAGTTCCGCCGAGGTACTCGATAACTAAATGGAAATATTTTCGGTGATATGCCATCGTTACCTTGTCGTCCAGGCGGAGGAGGACGGCACGAATGGCGTCGACGTCGCGCAGGGCAGCGGCGACTTTCTTGCGGGCTTGTTGAGTCGAGGCTTGAGCGGCCTTAAAATAGCTTGGTTTTTTTATCAAGAATCATAATTCGATGTAGATACTATTTTAGAAAGGTGTCGAAAGCACCTACTGAATGCGCCTGCGACGCCATGAGGCCGCACTGCCCGCAGCAGCAGCCAAGGGGGTGGTTCGCCGCACCGACGGAGGCGAACCCGCGTCCCAGATTGATTGGCTGGTATGTCTAAAAGGAGTCGTCATCAGTACATCGCGGGCAAGGATGCTGATGCCCCGGCAGCTCAGCCCCGAAAAGTACTAGTACCAAAATGTAAATATCCGTCTAGATAATAATTTCGATTTCTTTCGCATTATCGGGGGGGGGGAGCAACTTTTTTTTGTCTTAGGATCTAATTTTTCGTATAGAAGTGTTTCTAGGTAGTTTTTTTTGCTATTTCTAAACGTGAGCACAATACAACATTTACTAGAAGCGTCAAAAATACGGAAAATTTTCCCTTTTTTGCATTTTAAACAGTTTCCATCTGCAGCGGTTTCGAAATGCATAGAAATAGTGGGTGTCTCTCTGCGTGGCTGCCCACCTACCATGTATTTCGAAACGGTTGTACCGGCTGTATTTTACAAATTGCCTTTGGCAGTCAAAAACTACTAAAAACATATTAGAAAGTTGGAAAAAAAACAAATTATTTTACTCCTGCTAACCCGCCGCCCTACGCATTAATAGGACGCATGGGGGCCGAGCTGATGGGGCAAGGGCAGCTGTAATTCAGCCACACATTGCGTAATCCTACCTTTGGGGCTTCCGGCTCAGGTCCGCGCGTCGCCCGCCTGCCGCTATCATCCTCGAGGGTGCGCGTCTCGACCTTCAGTAGATCCGACGTCCACTTTTGCGCGGTGAAGACTTTCTGGGACGAAAGCGAGAGCTGAGCGACCTGACAAGGAGACGTTTTTTAGTGTCATCCGGAATTCGGGACGGGACCGCGCCGATCAGGTGCAAGATTTTGCGCTGATTCTTAATATGGTTACCGTTTTTGCGAAATAATCAATTATCGAAAGTTATAAACGATTTAAACGTAAAAACCCTGCAAATTGGCCATTTCGTTGGACATGAAAGGCTTCGGAATAAGCTTTAGAAAATTATGAAAATTTAAAAATTTTCAATTTTTTGAGTGAAGTAGCTTATTTTAAAGAGAATTAAAGAATTAAAAATTAAAGAGAGAAAAATTTTTCCCGAATAAGTCGCACTAGCTGCATTTTTTCTAAAACTTATTTGTAAGCTGTTTTGGGCCATCAAGCATGGCTAATTCGTGGCTATTTCTGGCGTAAGTCGCTCATAACTTTCGAGAATTGGCTATTCCGCAAAAAAGGTAACTATATTCGGAATCAGCGCAAAGTTATGCAAAAGATAGGCCTGGGCCCATCCCGAAGTCCCGACGACACTCAAAAACTTCGTATTGTAAGCAATTCATTTCAAGCACGTTAGCACAAAAACCTTGGTATCGATGTCGACGACGGTGGAATCGAGGCGGGCCAGGCCCTGCATCACCTCGCGCAAGTTGCCCTTCAAGCCTTCGGCGGAGACCTGAAATTTTGTGATGTCTGAAAGAAAGGTACACCCACAGTGGAATGGAGTGTGAATGCGGCCTCCATAGGAAGAGAATAGGGACGTTGGAGGGGAGTTAACGGAATAGTAGAAAAACGGTATTCTGGTTCCGAAGCTGTTTTTATACTGGCCCACCGGAAATGCAAAAATATGCAAATTTCTGCAGGCATGCAGATGACCGGTAGGGCAGAACTGGGGCTTTTTGGGGGCTGGGTAGCAGAGACCTTTGGAGAGCGAGAGAGTGCGCGAACGAGAGAGAGACAGAGAGAGAGAGAGAGAGAGAGAGAGAGAGAGAGAGAGAGGGAGAGAGAGTGCGAACGAGAGAGACAGAGAGAGAGAGGGCGATAGAGAGACAGTGAGTGCCAGAAAGAGCCAGAGCGAGAGAAAGAGGGAGAGAGAGAGAGCGAGAGAGATAAAGAGAAAGAGAAAGAGAGAGAGAGATAGAGGCAGCGAGAGAGATGAGAGAGACAGAGAGAGAGGGAGAGGGCGATAGAGAGACCGTGAGTGCCAGAAAGAGCCAGAGCGAGAGAAATATGGAGAGAGAGAGCGAGAGAGAGAAAGAGAGAGAGAGAGGAGAGAGAGGGAGAGAGAGAGAGAGAGAGAGAGAGAGAGAGAGAGAGAGAGAGAGAGAGAGAGAGAGAGAGAGAGAGAGAGAGAGAGAGAGGGAGAGGGCGATAGAGAGACAGTGAGTGCCAGAAAGAGCCAGAGCGAGAGAAAGAGGGAGAGAGAGAGAGCGAGAGAGATAAAGACAAAGAGAGAGAGAGAGGTAGAGGCAGCGAGAGAGACAGAGAGAGACAGAGAGAGAGAGAGAGAGGGAGAGGGCGATAGGGAGACAGTGAGTGCCAGAAAGAGCCAGAGCGAGAGAAAGAGGGAGAGAGAGAGCGAGAGAGATAAAGACAAAGAGAAAGAGAGAGATAGAGGAGCCAGAGAGACAGAGAGAGAGAGAGAGAGAGAGAGAGAGAGAGAGAGAGAGAGAGATAGAGGCAGCGAGAGAGATGAGAGAGACAGAGAGAGAGGGAGAGGGCGATAGAGAGACCGTGAGTGCCAGAAAGAGCCAGAGCGAGAGAAATATGGAGAGAGAGAGCGAGAGAGAGAAAGAGAGAGAGGGAGAGAGAGAAAGAGAGAGAGAGGGAGAGAGAGAGAAAGAGAGAGAAACACGGGTCTTACAACACTAAAAATAGTGTTAAAAACAGCCAAAAACCGCGGCAGGCAACCTCTTACGGGCCTGCAGACAAGTACTAATGAGAAATTAGCATACAAAATTAGCCTTTCGGTGAGAAGGTTTTCGGGGAAGGGGGTTTTCGGTCAAAGGGTTTTCGGTGAAGTGTCAATAATTCCTCTCTCTCCCTCTCTCTCTCTCTCTCTCTCTCTCTCTCTCTCTTCTCTCTTTCTCTCTCTTTGTGTTGTAAGACCCGTGTTTTCAAAAATTTTACCTGCGGAGCTACATTTTTGGTCGATTTAGCAAAAAAATTTTGGCGCGGCCCCTCCCGAAATTCGGGTTTGTTACGGCCCTGGGGGGTAACTGAACTACAGCCAATTTCCGCCCCCTAAATCGGCATTGTCGGCGGTGAGTGGTGGCGGGCCGTGGATCCGGATCGGGTCGTGGTCCATCAGTTTCAGCTGCTCCTCGCACTGGCACCGCTTCGCGCCGCCCTTCACCTGAACCGAGTGAAAGGCCCTTTTGCATTATCGGGGGGAGGGGGGAGGGAGAGTTTTCCTAGCTTCAAAGAAGGCTAGCGTAGTACCCAAGCGGCGTGCTCGCTCTCCGTCTCGAAGTCGTAGCGATCCGTCATCTTCACGCGGCATCTGAAATTACAGTAGATCAATTGCAATTCCGTTGCGAATATTGTAAACATTTTTGGGGTTTTTGAAGCCTACATAACGGAATTTTTAATTGATGTCGAACTTTCCTAGCCCAAACCGAAGCCTAAGCACAAACCTAAGCCTGAGCCTAAGCATGTCCAACAAAAGCCAGATAGAAAATTTTAGTACCTCTTCATGATGGCGAGCAGTCCCTCGTAGACGGTACGGTAGTTTGGGCGCGAGTAGAAGGTCAACAGGCGCAGGGCTGGGAAGTTGCCGTCCAGTTCGGCTAAAATCGAGCTGATGTAATTTATTATACTTTTCGTAACCTGGCAAAATCTTGGCGAGCTCGGCGGGGTGCTCCTCGAAGTAGAGCTTCTTCGACGAGATGTCGTCCTTGTCTGTAAAAGCGCGTATTTCACGGATGCGCGAAAAGGTTTTGGTTCTGAACTTTTAGCAGGGGTGAACGAGCTTTTTCGGGTAATCCCCCCTGCTAACAGCCCAGTACCCCCTTCCGCAAATGACATAGTACCGTACTTTTGTCCTCCTGCCACGGTAGCCCCGAGTGCAGCTCGATGAACATGAACAGCAGCGAGTAGATGTCATCACGGCGGCCGAGGTCCTCATCCCGATGCATATTTGGTGACGCATAGCGGTAGGTGCCGCGGAAGTCGATGCGCTTACGCGCCCGTCGCGCCTCCCATTGGCCACGCGAGCGAGGGCGTAGCTCCTGGAAATGAGTATGTATTAATGGTAGGGAGGGGAAAGAGAGAGAGAGAAAGAGAGAGAGAAGAGAGAGAGAGAGAGAAAGAGAGGAGAGAGAGAGAGAGAGAAAGAGAGGAGAGAGAGAGAGAGCGAGAGGAAGCGAGGGAGAGAGAGCGAGAGAGAGCGAGAGAGAGAGCGAGGGTGAGAGAGTGAGACTGAGAGGGCGAGTGTGATAAGGAGCGAGAGAATGCGACAGAGAGAGAGAGAGAGAGAGAGAGAGAGAGAGAGAGAGAGAGAGAGAGAGAGGGAGAGAGAGACGAGAGAGAGACGCGAAAAGTGTAGCGTTAATAATCAATTCTGTCACTTAACTATGCCCAAGAAAATTTTTTGACCCTAGCACTTTTTCGAAACACAAAATTTTTCAGGTTTTGGGGGTGCCTCAAACCGAAAGGCGGCAGGGCGGAAAACCGACCGAGCGAGCCCAAAGTCGAGGATGTGCAGGATGGGGTACTTGGCCGTGTTGTCGCCGTGGCCGAAGACGATGTTCGTCGGCTTGATGTCGCGGTGGACGAAGCCGCAGTCGTGCATCAGCTGAAATCACCTCGAACTTGGGCGTTGTTCGCTTGTGGTAAGACTGCAGATACCCTGCACGAGTCGAACATCTCCTACTGTATCTCGGCTCCCGGTCGGGCTGCTGGGCTGTCAAGTACAGGGTGTCCCAAAAAAAGCAACCGGCCGCATTTCTCCCGGGTCCGATCGACTTGAAATTTTGCACAACGGTAGCGAAACCAATTTCCAATGAACACAGAAAGTTTTAGCCCCCATCCGTCAGCGTATTCGAAAGTTATAGCGAAAATGCTTTTTATTTTTTATTTAGTATGGGGACTTCTGTAATTTGCATCAAAAATGTGCGTAATTTTGTCATTTACGAGCTGATTTTGCATAATTTTTGCCGAAAAATGCCATTTGCTGCTTTGCGCTTCGTAAGAACGATTGCACATGTAAAGTAAAAATGATCCACACAACGGCCGGGTACAAGAAACCAGAATTGTAACATACAGGGTGTCCCAAAAAAAGACCCCCCAAAAATTTGAGCCAGAGGGCACCTACGGAGCTGAAAATTTGCACAGAGGTAGCGAAGCCAATTTTCCATGTATATGGAAAGTTTGAGCCATATCGGCCGACGGGTTTTAAAGTTATAGCGAAAATAATTTTCATTTTCAATGAATATAGGGATTTTTGCAATTTGTATCAAAAACCAGCGCTGACCCCCCGCTACGCGGCGGTTCAGCGCTGGCCCTCCCCCGAAAAAAAAAATTGAATTTTGAATTTGAATGCAGGGTTTGGCTGAATTCCTGGTCGCGCGAACGGACGGACATTAGAAATTTATATATAGTAGATATGCGTTATTCTTGAATTTACGAGCCGATTTTGCATAAATTTTGCCGAAAAATGTCATTCTCTTGCTGGAGCTTTTGAAAAACGATTGCTCATGCAGCGTGAAAACGACCAGCAAGACCGCTGAGTACAAGATACATTGGTTGAAACTATCGTTCAGCGCCTGAACTTCGCTTAGACTTTGGACTGACTTAAACCCAAGCCCAAATCTAAACTTAAGTACCACTTAGTTAGAAGTTAGAAGCTCATCGAATTCTGTTTCGGGGCTAGCGCGAAGCAGATTGCCAAAATGCACAATAAGGCGTGGTTTGGATCGATAAAACAGTTGTTTTCACACTCTTTTTACTCTTCATACGCAATCGTTCGCGCCATGCTCCAGCAAGAGAATGGCATTTTTTGGCAAAATTTATGCAAAATCGGCTCGTAAATTCAAGAATAACGCATATTTTTTATGCAAATTGCAAAAATCCCCATATTAAATTGAAAATGAAAAGTATTTTCGCTATAACTTTAAAGCCGGTTGGCCGATATCGCTCAAACTTTCCATATACATGGGAAATTGGCTTTGCTACCTCTGTGCAAATTTTCCGCTCCGTAGGTGCCCTCTGGCTCAAATTTTTGGGGGGTCTTTTTTTTTTGGGACACCCTGTAAGTTCGCCGGTTGATTTAATTTATAACTCGGGCTTGCGCATAGGTATAAAGCCTCGGTTTGGATTTAATCATTAACTTGGAGCTGGTCGAGTGCTGTATCGAAGACAAGGTATGTCAAATTGACCAAAACCTTCAATAAAATATGTGTGAGTGCTCAAAAAACTATTGTGTTGACGGCATTTTGTTTCTCTTGCGCAATCGTTCTTACGAAGCGCAAAGCAACAAATGACATTTTTCGGCAAAAATTATGCAAAATCAGCTCGTAAATGACAAAATTACGCACATTCTTGATGCAAATTACAGAAGTCCCCTACTAAATAAAAAATAAAAAGTATTTTCGCTATAACTTTCGAATACGCTGACGGATGGGACTGAAACTTTCTGTGTTCATGGGAAATTGGCTTCGCTACCTTTGTGCAAAATTTCAAGTCGATCGGACCCGATAAGGAGAAATGCGGCCGGTGTCTTTTTTTTTTGGGACACCCTGTATACCAAAATGTTCGTCTTGGCCTGGCGGGTGTTTTGGTATACAGGGTGTCCCATAAAAAAAAAGCACCCCTCTCGCATTTCGCCATATTACATCAGATCGGTCCGAAAATTTGCGCCAGTGGTGTCTCAGACCCTAAATAACCACAATCCTGAGTTATAGCCCGCCAGCTACAGTAATTTTTGAGATACAGCAAAAATCAACTTTTCACGCTCCCTCTAGCTCTCTCACTCTCCCTCGCTCTCTCTCGCTCTCTCGCCCCTCACGCTCGCTCTCTCTCTCTCTCTCTCTCTCTCTCTCGCTCTCTCTCTCTCTCTCTCTTTCGCTCTCTTTCGCGAAATGCACGTACTTACAGCGCCTCTTTCACACGGACGAGCCGAAGCGGCCGCTCTTCCACCTCGTCGACGGCCAGGTTTGATTCATGGCGTCCATCGATAGATACAACTCAATTTTAGTGCGGTGGGCTCTGCTGCCAGGGCGCCGTCTCCGTCATTCTCCCCAGCACCCAAGGGGTTCGTAGCCGTGACTTTTCCGATTTTCCATGAGCATCCGCGGAAGCCCTTTTTGTGCAGCTTTTTCCCATCCTCACGCATCAGGATAACTTTTTTACAGACCGCTGCGCGAACCTTCGCCACACCTACCGGTCCCCTTGGCGCCACGCACCCCATACTTGAAACATTAGAACTGCTGCCCAAAAATTGTATTTCACGTATTTGTTGAGGTGTGTTTAAAGCGCACGTTCAGGGAGGGGCCGTGTTTATCAAAAAATACGAAAATATCGATTTTTGTAGCTAATTTTTCAGTTTTTCGGGCAAAACTAAGAATAACCAGACTATTAAAATACTGGGATCAACGGGCTACTACGCATTTCTCGGTGATAAAATTCGGGTCACCTTCCCGTACGACCCTTTTCCACCAACCTCTGACATATTCAGGACTTTGCCCCGTATGCCGTCTTCGTAAAGCTGGACGAGTCGGCCTTGATGTCACAAAATTGAAGTATAGTGCGGACGAATTGTTGCCCCGACAGGTAAACTTTACACCAAGAATTCTGTAACATGTTTTTACCAAACTGGCGCTTTGGAATCGGACCAAGCCTATCTCGTCAGAATTTTTCGCTGATTCCGGATCTGTTTTCCAAATTTGCTGCGGCTTCGCTTTAAAAAGGCGTTTGAGGTTTTATCGGAATAATAAAAATTTCGAAAGCATGAGTGAACAGGAGTGGAAACACTCCTAAATTTGTACTAAAGAATTCGAAACGAATCAAACCTAGTCCTATTGACCCCCGCCCCCCCTCCCCCGATAACGGTACAGAACCCTTGTAAAATTTAGATTCAGAGAGAGATGGTGTGAGAGAGAGTGAGAGAGAGTGAGACAGAGCGAGAGAGAGAGTGAGAGAGCGAGAAGAGCAAGACATCTGGCTGGTCCGTCTGATCATGCCCGCATCGTCATTGCTGCCCCGGCCCGTATGCCTTACACCAGAAATTCTTGGCACTTGACAGGAGGAGTAGATATCGATAGAAATCGAAAATGTTTCCCGAAATCGCATACATTTGATCAACCGGAGCCAAAACTGACCGCTTGCTTTTGAAAGAACCGGGAGAATTTTGGCCAAATGTATGGCATTTCGAGAAAAGTTCCAAGAAACGACCCAAATTTCAATGAGCCATATCTCGGCCATCCAATGTCCGATGTCGACGTCCGTAGACGTCGAAAATACCCCTAGTGACGTCGAAAATACCCCTAGTGACGTCGAAAATACCCCTAGTGACGTCGAAAATACCCCTAGTGACGTCGAAAATACCCCTAGTGACGTCGAAAATACCCCTAGTGACGTCGAAAATACCCCTAGTGACGTCGAAAATCCCCTAGTGACGTCGAAAATACCCCTAGTGACGTCGAAAATACCCCTAGTGACGTCGAAAATACCCCTAGTGACGTCGAAAATACCCCTAGTGACGTCGAAAATCCCTAGTGACGTCGAAAATACCCCTAGTGACGTCGAAAATACCCCTAGTGACGTCGAAAATACCCTAGTGACGTCGAAAATACCCCTAGTGACGTCGAAAATACCCCTAGTGACGTCGAAAATACCCCTAGTGACGTCGAAAATACCCCTAGTGACGTCGAAAATACCCCTAGTGACGTCGAAAATACCCTAGTGACGTCGAAAATACCCCTAGTGACGTCGAAAATACCCCTAGTGACGTCGAAAATACCCCTAGTGACGTCGAACTTACGTAGAATTTAAAAATCAAACAGGCATTGTTCTTACACCATCAAAAATTGAACGAAATGAAGACTTGCGTTATTTGGCCAAAATTATGTGTTTAAGTTTATGGGAAAATTTGGACCAAAAGCTAACTCAAAGCTGTGTAAAAATAGGGAGGACATTT